TAATTAATTATTGTAATTAATAGTTAGCTGTAAATTTGCTAATGACAAGTCAGAATGACGAAGACTATAAATACAGAAATAAGCCCATCTGTATTGTGCGAGAGAGAATTTTGAGTTATCCCTTGGTGGCCATTTTTCTCAGGCCGCCCTGATCTCACCGGATTCTCTCCGATTGTATCTCCTTCCCAGATCTTCATCGTTTTCCAATCGGCTGATATACATACACATAGAGGGAGAGGTTTATGTACAGTTTTCGTAAAGGAAAATGGGGGTGATATCAAGGACGGTGTTCCCGGCCTGCGAGAGTCTGTGCTTCTTTTGTCCGGCGTTGCGTACCAGATCCAGGCATCCTGTTAAGCGTTACAAGAAAATGCTCGCTATGATTTTCCCTCGATCTCCGGTTAGCCAACTTCCCGAATCCTGTTTGCTTTCCTTTTATCTGATTTTCAAAATGTCTCGTTGTGTTTTATTTTGTTTTTGCAGGATGAACAACCAAATGATCGCATGATCAATAAATTGTGTGAATATGCATCTAAGAATCCTCTTCGTATCCCGAAGGTAAATTGTTTTGTGTTCGCAGTATATACAATTCGTGTTCATAATTTTGGTTAAATTCTGCTATTACGTTCTTGATGGATGATTTTTACTCCTCCATTTTCAAATTCAAAATTAATTGTTAGGTTTATGTTTCCTCTTTCTAATGAATTTTTGCAAACTTTTGAATATTTCTTTAATGAATGTAAAAGATTCATGAATCTATACTCTTTTGAATGTTTAGTGAAAAAGAGATGCTATCATTGGACATCAATTTTGGCCATAGCTGCTTAGATTTTGTTTTAACTAGGTCTGATATTTTTGTTTTATCAGTACAACCTAATCTTGAGGCTTTTGACATGTTTCTTTGTCAGATCACAAGTTTGCTGGAACAAAAGTTTTACAAGGAACTGAGGAGTGAACAGTTTCATTTAGTAAAAGTTGTTGTGACAATCTACAGGAAGTTGTTGGTTTCTTGCAAGGAGCAAATGTGAGTTCCTTTTCATCATGTTGAATGTGAGTTCCTTTTCATTATGCAGTTTCTTGATGGTAAAATGGCTGTACCTAAAACTTGTTCCTTGTTGACATTCTCTGGTTTCCAAATGAAATACTTGAATTAAAATTTTTAATAGACCTTACGAACACTGGCTTATTAGCATGTGTTAGGATTTGCCAATTTTTGAATTAGCAAATCAACTTCATAATGACAGGAATAAGGGACTATTATTTCAGCATCTATCATGAGGAGGCAATACCTTGAAATGAGCCCTACTGTTTTTAGTAGGGTGAATAATTTAACAAACCATAAGGTTAAATGTAGTCTAAGAAAAGTGTATATTATTTATGATCACAGAAACTAAGGCATGTACTCGGGTGCATTCCGCATTGTCATTTGTCACTTTTATACTGTTTGGTAATGTTGCAAGCTCAGAAAAATATCCATCTTGATTCCAATTATCAAATACACAATTCTGAAGGGCCTTTTTTTTTCTGAGGTTGTATCATTGAACCAGTAATAGGTCAAATTCATGCATTTATAGTATGTGGAAAGATTGTTTGTATTGCTTTATTAGCAACGTAAAAAAAATTACCATTTATTTGTTTGTTTCTTTTATGGTGCACTGCAGGCCATTGTTTGCAAGCAGCTTTCTCAGCATCATACACATCTTGCTAGATCAAACACAACGAGATGACATACGCATATTGGGATGTGAGGTTCTTTTTGATTTTGTGAATAATCAGGTAGGAGGTGTTTGTAGGTTCTCCTTTCTTTTTTACTCCAACAAATAATAAAAAATGAAAGTTCTTATTAAGATTAGAGGCTCCTCCAGTGAAAATCCTCACACTAATTTGACTATTTTGACTAGCCAGAGTGATGGTACGCATATGTTCAACTTAGATGGAATGATTCCAAAACTTTGTCTTTTAGCTGAAGAAATGGGAGAGGACAGCAGGGTACAACGCTTGCATTCTGCTGGGCTTAAGGCGCTATCATCAATGGTAATCCACCCTTATTTTTTTTATTCTATGTAATACTTTTCCTTTATTGTTGTTACCATTTTATTTGTCATGGGTTGTCCAACACAAGAGAGTTATACCAATTAGTTTTACACTTAAAATACAAGCAAAATGAAAAGGAGTTGTTAAGCTGATGACTCCGCCTACTATTTTCTTGACAGGTTTGGTTCATGGGTGAATTCACTCATATTCCAGCTGATTTTGATACTGTAAGTCTTCTTGGATATATTTTAGGGACTAAGATGCTACAATGGGCAGTTAACAGTTGTTTTTACATAGCAGTGTCTTTGTGGAAGTTGTTGAATATCTCCATGAAAAACAGGTTGTTTCAGTGCTCTTGGAGAATTATGAAGGTTTCGAGGAAACATCAGATAATGCTACTCAAGAAAAGCAAAATACCCAAAATGGCACTGCTCAAGAGAGCTTCCCTCCTGCAGATACCCTCACAAGGTTTTCCTGGAGGAGTATTGTGAATGAGAAAGGAGAAGTTAATGTGCCAGCGTAATTGCTCTTGTCAAAATTTCAGTTGATGTCATTATATAGTTCTGGATGTGGACATGGTAGTGGCTAATTATTTCCTCCTTTTTCTCCTTTATATTACAGGGAGAATGCTGAGAATCCCAGGTTTTGGTCAAGAGTTTGTCTGCATAACATGGCCAAGTTAGCAAAGGAGGCTACAACTGTGCGGCGTGTCTTGGAATCATTGTTCCGAGCCTTTGACAATGAGGACCTCTGGCCTCTCAATCATGGTGTAGCTCTTTCTGTCTTGCAGGACATGCAGCTATTAATAGAGAAATTTGGTGTGTATCTTTATTAATTGTTACAGAATGTTTGTGCTGGATGGTTAATCTTTTTCTCTTTAAGATTTAATTCTCATGTTTCAATTGGTTTTTTTTTTTTTTTATTTGACATTTCAATTGAATTTTTATGTGACTTTTTAAGTGACTGACTGACTGTTTCATTTAATTGCAGGGGAGAACACACATTTTTTGTTGTCCATCTTAATAAAGCACCTCGACCACAAGAATGTTTTAAAGAAACCTAGCATGCAGCTAGACATTGTCAAGGTTGCCACCTCCCTTGCTCGCCAAACAAAGGTTCAATCATCTGTACCTATAATTGGTGCACTAAGTGATATGACAAGGCACCTTCGGAAAAGCATTCACATCTCACTTGATGATTCCAATCTGGGAGATGAAATGATTCAATACAACCAAAAATTTCGAGCAGCGGTTGACGATTGCCTTGTGCAGTTATCACTTAAGGTGATTTTGTATCCTACACATCTCCAGGATCCAGATCATGTCTAATATTATGTCCACTAGTAATTTAACTGAACATCTCTACACCTCATGCATTTAATAAGTTTAAAATTTCAACTTCTCTAGTCAACAAATTACTGTCCTAACTCCAAAGTAGAATATTTTGTTCCTTTTTTTTTTATCAGCAACCAAGGAAGAATATTTTCCACAACATGGTGATTGCAAGTTGCAATTTCTCAATTTTCTTCGACAGTAAATTCATAACTAAGATGCCTTTTTAATTTAGGTTGGAGATGCTGGTCCTGTTCTCGATATGATGGCTGTTATGCTGGAGAACATGCCAAACATTACTCTTATGGCCAGAACCTTGATTTCTGCTGTTTACCGTACTGCTCAAATTATGGCATCTGTACCAAATTTATATTATCAAAACAAGGTAAGATTTCTAACCTTTTATTGTGTTCACATGATCTATTTAGTTTTAACCTTGTGCCTTCCCTATTCTCATTCTCTGTTAATATTTCTACAGGCTTTCCCTGAGGCACTGTTTCATCAGTTACTCGTAGCTATGGTCTTTGCAGACCACGAAACTAGAGTTGGTGCTCACCGTATATTTTCTGTTGTGCTTGTCCCATCTTCTGTTTGTCCCCGCTCTCAAGCTACAGCTACCCATCCAAAGAAGAAAAATATGCAAAAGACACTCTCAAGAACTGTGTCAGTGTTTTCTTCTTCAGCTGCACTCTTTCACAAACTGGGTAGGGAGCATCATTTGTCACAGGAAGATATCTGCATTGAGAAAGTAGAGAAAGGTTTAGACAATAAGCCTGGGAACCGAATTCGTAGTGTTAGGCTACCCATCATGAATGAAAATGAAACATCAGATAGTCAAGATGCAAAGAGTGAAAATACTTCAATTCTTAACAGGTTAAAGTCCTCTTACAGCCGAACTTATAGCGTCAAGAAGAATCCATCAACTTCAATGGATGAAGAAGAACCTCTGAGTAATGATGTTGAAGTTGCGGTTTGTATTGATATCATTGCCATTTAGTGATCAAATAAAAATTTTCAATAGACTTTCTTTTCTATCATCTGATATGATCCTTTCTCTTGCTACTAACCCATGTCAGGCATTACCTCTTCGATTAAGCAGCCATCAGATCACTCTTATGCTTTCATCAATTTGGGCACAATCCATCTTTCCTTCAAATACACCAGAAAATTTTGAAGCAATTGCTCATACCTACAGCTTGGTGCTGCTATTTGCAAGGACCAAGGTACAGTTTCAATCTTGCAAATCTGTGGCATCGTGAACAAGCTAGCTTATGATTACTGCTTCTTCTTTTTCTTTTTCATTTCAATCCTTTAAAAGATTGAGATCCACTTTTGAGTGGATCAATTTCAAGAATGTTAGAAGTTTTCATTCTTATAGAGGAAATTGAGATGCACTTGTGGCAGTTTTCATAACCTTCATCATATTAGTCCCCTTTGAGTGGTGCACACAGGTGCCTCATATACTTGTGTTTTTACCACTTGTTGAACTGATACATGATAAATGAAGATTCCAATTACACATTGTATCTCTGCTTTTCGCCCATGCCATGTGTCTTTCATGGATTTATATTCTTACTTGAGCTATTTTGATCTCTTGAGTATTTCCCTAGATTAAATTTCTCTACAGTTCATATTTCAGTACATTTTGAAAGAGGCAATCTAATTATTTTCACTCATTTTGCTTTCTTATCTTTGACTATTTTGTTTAGAACTCCTTTAACGAGGCTCTGATTCGAGGCTTTCAGCTGGCATTTTCCCTAAGGAACATATCTTTGGGAGGAGGAGGTTACATTCTTGGTCCTAATTTTTATATTAATTTTCTTATTTGATAGAACTCTTTAATCTTTTGCATTTGGTGGCATAATTTCCATGTTCCTTGTTCATTCTCCCCAAGGACCATAACCAATTGTGATTTAGTGATATTATTATGACTGCAAATTAACAATGATGCTAAAAAAGGAAATGAGATTAGAGTCAATCTGGTCTATGCATCTCTCAACAGAAGTTAAACTCTAATTTGTTCCTTTTTGTACACAAATTTTTCTATTTATCTTATTATGATTATCACCTGGATGGTATGGATTGGTAACCATAACTATCAGACCCTTTTTTCTCATATGCTTGAATTGAAACAATCCAAAGGTAATGATTTATAATCAGCTTGATTGCATTTTAGCTTTCTCCAAAGACATTGTGTTTCAGATTGAATTAATTTCACACAATCATGATAAGAACTTTAGTTATTTTAGATTTTGAAGACAGTCTGACAGGTTAATTTCCTTGCCTTCAGGTCATCAGTTCTTACCTTTTCTTTTTTTTAGAACTTATTTACTTGCATTTTAGTGGACTGCATGGTTATTATAATTTTGGGTGGCAGTTTCCAGGTCCTCTCTTTGACTGATGATTTCTCTTTTTTGGTAGGACCACTGCAGCCATCACGCCGCAGATCACTTTTCACTCTGGCTACATCTATGATCATCTTCTTATCAAAAGCCTACAACATCCCCCCTCTTGTGCCTTGTGTCAAAGCTTTGCTTACTGATAGAACTGTAAGTCCAATTTTGTCTTTATGCTTATTGAATGCAAATTTGGTCCATTTTCATAATCAGAGTATATGTCAATTATACCCTAATCGTAAAATTTGAAGATTTTGAAGCTAAGCTAACATTGTTTTCCTATTTCTTGTATTAGGTCGATCCATTTCTACAGTTGGTTGATGATTGCAAGTTACAGGCTGTTGATAATGGAGCCGAGCATCCAAGAAAGGTTTATGGATCAAAAGAGGATGATGAAGATGCATCAAAGTCACTTTCAGCAATAGAAATAACAGAGAACCAATCCAAAGAATCACTTGCTACCATGGTAGTGAAGTTTCTTGGCAATTTGTCAGAGGTATGACCGTTGAATATCCCTTCTTTGAACCACTAGTAGCTTGACACCAAGTAGCACTAAAATGGTAATACTTGGGATCTTTTTGGCAGAAAGAATCATCTAGTATAAGAAAGCAGTTGCTTAATGATTTCATCCCTGATGATGCATGTCCACTGGGAACTCAGTTGTTCTCTGAGAAACCAGGACAAATCTACCAGCCTGTTTCGAAAGAGAATGAATCTCCTGAAAAGGCAATTACTCTCTTCACCCTTCATTTCATCTCTACTCCCTCCTGCTTAACTCCGACTCCCCAAACAAAGCCCTTTCTTAGAATTTCACATCAATTATATGACTGTGCTCTGCAGGTTGAGCATCCACTCTTCATGATAGATGATGATGTTTTAGCCAGTAAGTCAGAAAGTCAAGTGGGTGCAGACGTTCATCTGGCACTTCAAACTGCATGCCTCCTGAGTGTTGATGAACTTCTAAATGCAGTAAGTAATCCTGTGCACTGACACTGTCATAGACATCAATGCTATGTACATAAATTCATAAAAAAAAATATGCATTATAAACAGGTGCTCCATTAAACTTGAAATCATATTTTGGTGAAAAATGGCAACTAATAGCCTTTATATAATTCATTCACATCCAACTTTAGAATTGTTTGCTTGGACATCTGAATTGTGCGGGTGGAAGAAATGTTCAAAGAGAAACAATTGGAGTGTTAGGACAAGAGTTCAATGGAAAATTTATCTCACTACTACAAAAGTATATATGATTTCCACGTTATTATTTCTATACAGTGTTGAATTATCATTTCCCATAGCCTCAAGCTAAGTTTTGGTGACTACCATCTTAGCATTACTGTGTTACCTGTTTTCTTTGGCTTTTAAAATAACCCTGGCTTTCCCTAACATAGGGATCAAAGGTACAAATCAGCAATCAGCCCTTGCCTTCTAGATCCCCACAAATTATGATGGAAATTTGGCTTAGCTGATGTTCTTTTTCATAGATGCTGGTTTAAAACCCATACTAGTACTAGCAATAGAGTTCCATATTCATAAAGAATAAAATGGGTACTTGATAGTCTCCATCCATCATGAATAGATGCAAGCTTTTAGGTTCCGTGAAATTTCAACCTTTTATCATTCAAATGAAGTCAGTTCATGATAAGATGATGATATTAACAGGTCTCAGAGACAACAAATCAAGTTGGAAGATTCTCATCCTCTGCTACAACTGACATGCCTTATAGTGAAATGGCTGGCCATTGTGAGGCCCTTCTGGCAGGAAAGCAGCAGAAGATGTCTGCCTTCATGAGTGCTCAGCAGAGTCTAGATTTAATTTGCTTCTCTACGATGGAGACACAATCTAATTCCAATGTTGAACCAGTTGTGTCACAGGTACTTGCTTTTCTTTAGAAGTGTCATAACTCCATTAACATTTTGCTCCAAAGTTTTTGAGATATTTTAAATCATTCCATAAACTTAGGTCTAAAAGTAAAATTCCAAGGTTTGCATAGCCTTCAACATTTTTTTTTTTTTTGGGGTACCATTTTGGAATTGCAGAGTGGAAATCCATTTGCAGACGAAGACTGTTATGCTAGCTCTATAAGTCAATCTGCCAGTACTGGTCCATCGCGTTGTGCAGCTGCATGCCAATACCCTGCCTGCTTCTTTCAGCTTCCTGCCTCAAGCCCATATGATAATTTTCTAAAAGCTGCTGGTTGCTGATATCAGAGAGAAGGACAAGTAGCTCCATGAATGAACATGAGCCTTTAGATCAGAATAATACTTTCATACTTTGCCTTCTAATACCGTCTGCACCCACTCCTGAATCTTCCACAGCTGTTGGATTGGCAATCTCTGATAACATGCCAGGTTTATATTTGCCTGCATTTCTTTATTCTTTTCCAATTCTTTCTTTTAGTTACTGAGATCTCAAATCTCTCTCATTTTTTCAACATTATTTTTCTGCAGGGATGGTTTTGGGTGCCTCTCTTTCTCTAGTTCATTCATATTTTGTCGTGTTATATGTTATTATTATTATCATTATTACTGGACAGGATTGTAGAGTTTAGGTTTGCCATGCCCGACTGAGAAAAATGTCATGTAAATGGAGAAAAGTGTAAATGGAGAAAAATATTATTTATGCCATCTCAAGTTATATGTATGAGAATAAGAAAGGTGCTATAAATGTGTCAATGAAGTGTGTTCTCTTTCCAAAATCATACATATCTCTATATCACAATGTCCATTCTAAAAGGATTTGCTAATCTAGTTTTGTACAACAGACTAAAATTAATAGGTAATACTAAAACTAACTATATATAAGTGTTTTAGTGATATAATATATATATATATATTTTTTGCCACAAAAGTAAGAAATTTTAGGTTTAAAATCTAATGATATAAAACAGTGAAAGTAAGATCTTTAAATTAAAAAAAAATGATTATTTGGATCTAATGACATTAATCACATTGAATAGATGCATCTTCTCTTTTTAGACAAGTTCGATCTCATCTTATATCAAATTGTTCAAAAAAAAAAGAGAGAATGGCCTAATATCAGGGGACTCTCAATTCAAAAGTTATTATTTTATGGTATGAGATAATCCATATTACAAAAGGAATTTTTTTTTTCTTAATAATTCAGCATGCGAATTGCAAACCTTTTAGGCTTTTTTGACGTTCGAAGTTTGAACCCACAATTCAATTTTCCAGAACAAATGGGCCCTAAGCAACAAACATGAATTGGGGTAATTTATTTTATTATTTAGGCTCAACTTTCGGCCCATAATGAATTATTCATTCAGCGTACATGATCCATCACGCGCTGTTTAGGAGATTGGATTGTGGAGACCCGACCACTGTATTATTTCCCCTCGTTTCTACCATTTTTACTTCTGCAAAAATGCCCAGTCGTCTCTCCCTCTCTCCAGAATCTTCTCCGATCATTTAAACAACAGTAGTGTCTTCCATAGCCGCCAGAAAGGGGAGCACACAACTCTCGAGATCCTCTCTCAGTAAGTACCTAAAACGCACCTTCCTTTCCTTCGTTTTATTCGTTCTACTTTTTGTTTGGTTGTTGAGAAAATTTTTGAAACTAGAGGAAAAATGACTTCAAATATCGAATCATACTTTCTGCTTTCGCTTCGTTGTTGAGAAAATTTTTGAAACTAGAGGAAAAATGAAATTTAATTATCGAATCAGCTGCGAAGTGAAAAGTAACGCTAAATTACAGTTCGTTTTTGGTGGATTAAAGATCGTGGTGCTGAATTTCTTGATTGATTCGCGATTTTTTTCAGTGATGGAGGATGTTAAGGAGCAGCAAAGTCAATCCAATGGTGATTTTTCACTTCCAGGTAATGAAATTTTCTCCTTGTTGGATTTGGAATTAGGAGTTACATAAACGCTTCTTTTAAGCCCCAGAATTTATAGAAATTGCATATTTCCGTGTTGATTGCTTCATTTAGTGGGTTACATTATTATTATTAGTTTTCTGAAAAGTGAATTTTTAGTGCTTGGTTTATCTTAATTGAGTCAGTGATCTGATATATAAGCGGAGCACCGTGAATTCTTAAAGGTTTTGTATCATGTTTTTGCAGGTAAAGATAGTGAGAGTGAAATAGTTGTTGAAAATGCAGCAGCTGTGCATGGGGAACCTCCTCAAGGTGATGGTGTACCACCCAAAGTTGATTCTGAGGTTGAAACCGTTCATGAGAAAGTCACAAAGCAAATTATTAAGGAAGGTCATGGTCAGAAGCCATCAAAGTATTCAACATGCTTCTGTAAGCACCACAAATCTGTAATATTTTTTTTTTGGGGGGGGGCTTCTGAGCTTTAGTGGAGACAATTACACAACACTGTTGTTTTCTATTTGGTCACGCTTGATCTGATTTGATTTTGTAACTCAATTTTGAATCTTCCTTTTGAAATATTTACCAGGTTTCTTATTGAATTGAGACCTGTCAAATGATTTGTGCCAACTTAACATGCTAGTTCCTTGAAAGATTAAAGAGAAAATTTATAGAAGCTAAGTGTAAAGTCAACTAACTAACAGTAGTTGAAATGTGGAAATTAACCAAAAAAAAAAAAAAAAGAAGAAGAAAATTTGCACTCATTCAAGTTTAGCATATTATTTGAGCAAAATGTCATTTGTTTTATTCTGTAATTATTAATGAAACAAAATGGTTTGTGGGGATCTAGTACCATCTGCTTTTTTGAAATTACTGCTTAGAATGGGAGGTGAAGGAGTGATGTTGACCCTAACACCCAAGTATGACTCTGTATATGCAACAGTGCACTACAGGGCATGGGCTGAAGGCACCCAGCATAAATTTGAAGACACATGGCTTGAACGGCGACCACTGGAACTGGTTTTAGGAAAAGGTATCTCTCAGATTTTTTTTTTTTTTTTTTTTACCCTTTTCATTTCTTATGAAGTTATGACAAACTTCATTTCAGTGTCTGATTCGTTTTCTTGGAGCTGAATATAGTCATTCTGTCTTTAAAAACTGGTTCTTATTTATGCATTTTCACTTGTTTTTACCTTTTTACACTGAACAAGGTAAGCAACTGCTTACCTGGTATAGCACCCACTGGGCATATTTATGGTATAATGATGGTTCACTACTGTGGCAGAGAAGAAAGAAATGGCTGGCTTGGGCATTGGTGTCTCGAGCATGAAGTCTGGGGAACGGGCACTGCTACATGTGGGCTGGGAATTAGGTTATGGAGAGGAAGGAAGCTTTTCTTTCCCAAATGTTCCACCCAAGGCAGATATAGTCTATGAGGTTGAGCTAATTGGGTTTGATGAAGTCAAAGAAGTAAGTCGCTCTCCATTGTCTTTCCAGTATTTACATCAATTTTCAAACATTTCTAGTCAATTGGATTTATCTTCTTTAGGGTGCTAATAACTTGTATCTTCTGGTGTCTTCCCTAGGGAAAAGCCAGGGCTGACATGACTGTGGAGGAAAGGATTGGTGCAGCAGATAGACGAAGGATGGATGGAAATGCTCTATTTAAGGAGGATAAATTTGAGGAGGCCATGCAGCAGTATGAAATGGTCACCAGCTTATCTTCCTTTATTTTGGCCATCACCAGCTTATCTTCCTTTATTTTGGCCATCACCAGCTTATCTTCCTTGATTGTTGCTCTTTGCACCTCTGTTCATAACCCTGCTGGTTTTCTTTTCTTTTTCTTTTTCTTTTACTTTTTTTCTCTTTTTTTCAAAAGAAATACTTCATTTGCACCCCTTTTACTTTGGTGAGTTCTGACGTTCTGTTTCTGCATCAGGCCATAGCATATATGGGTGATGATTTCATGTTCCAGTTGTTTGGTAAGTATCGGGACATGGCTCTGGCTGTTAAAAATCCTTGCCACCTTAACATGGCAGCCTCTCTGATAAAGCTCAAGTGCTACGAAGAAGCCATTGGCCACTGCACCACTGTAAGTATATGGTTCATTTTAAAGGTTATCTAGGGGTTTCTTTGTGTTGAGTGTTGCAATATTAGTAGTTTGACCATCTTTGGTCCCATTTTTGGATCTTAAAAAATTTGGTCCTCATTCAACTGCATTATATTTTGTCTATTTTATTTCTTCCCTTCTAATATTTTTTTACTATGAGTTCAAAAAAAACTTTACAATGTCAAGTTCTCTTGCTTAGCTTATGAGAACTAAAATTAGAGTTTTCCTTTTAATCTATTTTTAGAACCCGTGAAATTAATAGCTGTTTGCATTGGCTGGAACCTTTTTATTGATTTGTTTATTTGAATCCATAATGTGCAAAGCC